TCCCCTCCCCAGGAAAAGCCAAGCCTGGCGTTTCTGGAACGTGTAGGCGGGTGAGAGTGTGTGCACACGGTACTTCCTCTCTAGCCTTTCTTCCAGGCTGGTGTTCTGGATAATGAACTCATAAATTTGCAGAAGTTTCTCAGCATCTGAGTGGACGGGGTTGCTTAGCTTTCGCCCACAGTGTCCCTCAGCCCTGACATCTCTGACCATTGGTGTAACTTGGGCTCCCAGGGGTGACTAGCAGTTTCCAAAGAACCCATGGGCCCCCCCAAGGACCCTAGAGGAGCCGTCATGGGGTACAAAGGAATCAGGGCAGTTTGAGGCCTGGAGGCTGTTTTCCCCCAGAACCCCAGAGCTTCCCATGGGCCTTGGCCCAGGTCTGGCTCGTTTGTTGATTGAACAAACGAACACATCTATTAATATTCACTTGCTCGCGCCAGGGGCTGAGGTCATCCACTTGAGTGAATTCTTGGGATGATTGAAACCCCCTCAGTTCACGGTAACATTTTTTTCTGGTTTCTTAAACGCAGGCAGACTCATTTATTCAGCAGATGACAGTCAAGTGCAGATAACAAGCTGGGCACCAATGAAGCTCCAAAAGTGACTTTCCAGGGGACATCCTCAATGAGAGTCTAGCCAAACTTGAGACTGACTAATGTCAGTGAGGGGCCTGCTTCTGGCGTTCCCAGTGCCCTGCCCCAGCAGGCTGTGGGGCACACAGCTGCAGACCCCACCCCAGGCAGGTGGCCTTCCAAGCAGCCCATCCACAGCCAGCTCCCTCTGGGCTGTCATGGCAGCCATCTTAATTATCAGGATCAACAGCACAAGGACGGATGTTATGATTTACTCAGGAAATGATCAGGATCGTTGTCTTTGCAGCCCCCGGGGCAATGAAACGCAATCACTGGGTGATTTATTCTGGGCAGGCTGAGTGGATGGCTTCAGCAGCAGGCAGGACATGATGCTGGGGAAGGCGATCACCGAGCCCAACGCGTCCGATGGACACGGGCTGACAAGCCACCTCCCCGAGGGACAGAGCTTAGGAGACTGTGTCCAGGCACTAAGCCTGCACCATGCATAGACACCAGTCAGGCCCAGGGTAGGGGCACTGGACATGGAGTGTGTTTCCTTCTAAAATGACAAGGAGGTAAGTCCTGATGGCTGCAAGAACCCAGGAAAGCTGTGGGCAAGGGGAGGTCAGAGTCACTGAATATCCCTGGTAAACACGAGAGGGGGAAGGAGGAGATAGGCTCCTGGGTCAGCTCTGGAAGGATGGAAGGGCTTAGAATCACACGTGAACTTGGGAAGGAGCAGACTCGATTTCTACAATCTCCTCCAAAGTCCTGCTGTGCTGGACATGGAGTGAGGGGCCAAACGGTCAGTGAGGGGAAGCCTGCACCACAGTCCCATCTGCCACCTGACTCCTTGGGTATGCATGCGTTCATCCGTGTCTCCCCTGCATGGGGGAGAGAAGAATTTTGACCTGGGCCCTAGTTGCACTAAAACCTTGTGTTGACCGGACCCTGTGTCTCTCCTTACAAAAAGAGAAAAGGAAGTCAACCTTTCCATTTTACTTCTATGGAATAGTCTTGGACCAGAACTTTGTTCTTAGAGTAGACAGATTACTCCCTGTTATCCCAAAATGATGGTGAGAATAACTGACTTAACTTTTATTACATTGGTCCTCCGAGGGTCACCTGCCCTGGGTTTATCCCTCTGAGGACGTTGTGCCCTGACCCTTCAGGTAAAGCCAAGCTCCCAAGCTTACAGTGGCCGCAGAGCTGTGCTCCCAGTCACCCCTGGGAGGACGGATATTGGGTCTTCCTTGGAGTTCATTCATGAGCTTTGCTAAAATGCTTTCAATGAATGACCATGACAAAAAAATTCAATTACTCTGATTCATGCAACTTAATTACCAGGACGAGAGTGATAATCATGTAGAAAATTCAGGACTGCCGTGAGAATACACCCATGCATGCTGTGGACAACCCTGAGCATGGCTGGGCTGCCCACTGGTGGCATCCTTGCACACTAATGCTTTCCTATAGCTTCTGCCTCCCCAGACGTGCAGAAGCACAGATGAGAGCAGCTGCCAGGTCAGGGCCACCTGGTGTGAGTGGCTTGGGGTGGCTAACAGGAGGCTCCTCTCCTGCCCGCAACCACAGAGAGGCCTGGGCACTGGGTCCTGATAGCTGTGTGTACCATCAAGAGATAAGGCACGCAGACAGAGCAAATTAAGGAAAACTAGAAAGGAGGCAGGCACCTGCCAGTGGCCTGTCTCTGCTGAGCTGCCTTCAAGCCTATTGAAACGCAAAGAAACAGAGTCAAAGAGCAGTCAACCATTTCAGGACACACGTGGAAAATTCCGGTGCAGCTGCTTAGGATGGGAGCAATCCAAAGGCTTTTGCAGAGGCTCCAGCTGAGGTCTGTGGCACTAGAAAAAAACATTTCTGTTTTCATCGCTGACTTCAGGCAAAGGTGAATTCAACCTGAGTCTTCAGGGGCTTCCTCCTCCTAGCTCCTTCCCAGGGAGTACTGTGGTTTCCTCTTCAATCCCACCACTGGCTCCAATCACAACACAACACAAACAACTGTGCGGCCGGGTGGTGGAGCAGCAGAGGGATCACAAAGTCAGGTAAGTGGTGCCTGAGCTTGCAAAGAAAGCAAGATCACCCAAGATCATGCCAGGTGTGTCTGGAACTCTAGCTAGGGACATTGGGTTGAGGGCAAATGTTTCTAAGTACTGGCCTGAAAGGAAGCGGTCAGGTCACGACCAGAGGACAAAGCTCTCTGCAGAACCAGTAGGGACACAGTGGAGGGATACTGTTCCCTCACGTACACAGAGAATAAATAACATTGCAAAGTCAACGGGCTGATGACAGTGACAGCCTGTACCAGGCCTGGCACTATGGGAGCCACAATGATACAATTAAAAAAAAAAAAAACCAAACAAACAGAAAGTTATACCAGCGCAGACAAGAACAAAGTCACCTCAAGGTCATCCAAAGCTATGTGTAAGGTTTGTTCACACTCTAGCATCTAAAAGCCGCCTACTAATTAAATAGTCCCTACCTTTTTAAGTATGTCACACAAACACCCTTGAGTCCCTCTCTAGCACACTAAGCAGGGAAGGGTAGGAAAGGCCCTTGCTGCAACAGCCAACTCCAGTTCACAGCTTACCCATTAGGTTGTTTATAAAAATGGTCTCCTTCGGCCCATGGGGACAACCTTATAGGCCATAACAAGCCTGGTATGTGCCAGTTGTAGGGCTGTGACCCAAACTCCTGCTCCTGCCTCACTTTGCTCCTTGGCCTCTGGCCATTCAGTCCTAAAGGTGACCTCGACCTTGATTCCCACACTGTGTCTGCTGCCTCTGGATGGCAGAGGATGTAATACACTCACTTACACATGCCAGCTTGCTGAGTTACCATTTCCACCATGTTGGATGGTGGTGAAGCCCAAGTTGACTGTCCTTCTTTGTCCATCTGGTTAACCTGACCACCCACATAGAACCTTGAAGCCCTCAGAAGAATGAGAGGCCCAGGCTCACACTCAGATAAGAGACCGTGTCCATGCCAATGAGCCACAAGAGGCCCTGGGCTGCCAGGGACCACATTCCACCTGCCTGCTGGAAGGAGAAGACCCCAGCCCTCTGCATCTCTGTTTCTAGGGGCGTGGGCAGCTGGAGCCACCACCACCAGGTGCATTGACGCACCAGGATTCCCGATGTCTGGAGATAGGACTCTGTGGGCTGAGAGGCCTGGGGGAGTCTCAGGAGCCTCGCGAGGGTCTAGAAGAAGTCACTATGCATGGGGAGTCTCTAGGGAGCCACGGAATCATGACTTGCAAAGATGGAGGACCACAAAGTGTCATGAGAAAGAGAAAACAGGTCTGAATTCTTCCCTCACTCTACGCAGAAAACTGAAGCACTGATCACTTTGGAAACTTTTCCAAAGCTGCCGAATGTCTGAGAGAGGTAAGGGGACTTGGGATCCCCGCTCCACCTCTCACAGACATGAGGTTCGCCCATGCCCACTGCTGTTAGGGAACCACTGCCAGTCATCAGCGCACTCTTCTGCCCCTTCCTGGCCATTTGCCCTTCCTGGCACTGTCCTCAGTCTAACTACTTTTGGAGTTTGTGACAGCCCAGAAGGAATCTGGGTTTGCATCCCCATTTCCACCTGGGCAGGATGCCTGCCAAAACTACTACCCAGAACTAGCCAGGTGGGACATTTGGGGAAGCTGCTACTAGGGTGCTCTTAGTTCCCATAGGCCACCTTGAGGGTCCCCAAAACCAGGGCTCAGAGTCCTTCATTGCCTCAGCAGGGCACCTATGGATGCCCCTGACTCATCCCCAGCACATTTTCGGGGACTTCAGCACCCTCTCACCTAACATGCCCGTCCTTTCTGACCTACCCATGCAAGTCAACTGCACATGGGCTCCAGAATCATCGAGGCTGGATAGGACATGGTAGAGAAACTTTAACAGCAAGATGGCCCACCCTGGCAGAACGAGGCTGTCTGGGAAGCAGGGTCTCTCTTAAAGGTTGGGCGGGGGCTTTGGCATTGGTGTGCCGGGGTGTCTGGTGCCATCACCACCAGGTATATTTTGGAGCTGCCCTCAGACTGCTGGGGTTAGAATGAAGCCCCACATGGAGGGAAGGCACTTTGGGACAGCTGATGGCTCTCCCTTGCTCTGCAGCAAGGGAGGGTTAGCACCTATGATCTGAGGGAGGCATGGCGTGTTTCAAGACATGAGCTCATGAAAGACACATTTCCGGAAGAGAATGCTCCAGCCAGGGGGCTGATGGCAGCCACAGGACCCCAATGTTTTCTGAGTCGCGTCATGCAAGCTGCAGGATAAAATAACCCTGGGAAATGTGACATTCGAACGCTCTCTCCAACCCCAGCCTCCTGCCTCAGGCCGTGACTGCTCACCCGGCTTTATAAATAGATTGAACACAAGACAAATGGCCACGATCAATCTTGCTCAGACTCACCTCCCATGCAAAGTCAGCTTCCTTGAGCGCGGCCCGCGGCGCCACCATGCAGGGGCCAAACCTCTCCCCGACTTCCATCTTCCTCTTGGCCCAGATCCCCAGGCCTGCCCCTGGGATGGAAGACTCTCGCAGCTCAAAGTCTGGTGGGATGGGAATATCTTCGGGAATGTAGACCGGAGCCTCATAGGGCGAGCCCTCCTTGGGAGTGAAGTCCTCACTGGTGGGGAAGGGGGACGGTGACCCCATAGGGATGGGGGACAAGATGCTGTCTTCTGTCTCCTCCTCCGCACTTTGGCCGGCCAGCAGGTCCGGGTCAGGCTCATACATATTATTTACAATGTCACCGTCACCTAAAGGAGATAATGCAGTGTCAGCCTCAGCAGCAGCAAAGGGGTCCCCACAGACATGACCCTGAGAGTGCCCCAGAGGCCAAGCAGGCCCCTGGTAACATCTCTTGTCCTGCAGATGCTGCTTCTGCACCATGCCCAGCCTAGCAGCCAGCATGGGTGCCAGCGACTCCCAGGCTCCTGCAGGGACCAGTGTCTTCACAACAGCACAGCATGGACTCAGTGGGCTCCCCTGAGTCTGTCCACTGTCCCCACACTTGTGAGATGTGGGCAGTTTGTTCCCTGGAGCCACCTGAGGACACACCAGCCAGTTCTGCTTTAGGGTACGCACAAGTTTGGGGATGGTAGGTGATGCTGTCATTAAGTGAAATACCCACAGTTATCCTCTGGCTTTGGAGATGGACAGAGTCCTTGGGAGGACTCAGAGTTTGGTTCACATGAGTTTCGCTCAGAGCTGCTGCCCCAACACATGGACCAATCTGGACCTCCCACTGGGGCAGGCTGAGCCCTGGGCATGGTTCTTGGAAGTTCCCAGGAACATCGGGGTAAGTTAGAAACAGGTTGCTGAGGTCATGGGTGTGGGACTCAAGAGGCTACAGGTCATAGGACTGAGTAAGGAAGGGGTTCCCAAACTGTACAGTAGGGCAGGCTTTTCTTGGGTGTTTACCAAGAGAAAGCCGGTGCCAAGACAGTGCCACCTGGGGCAGACATATAGAGGGGAGCCTGATGGACAGAGGACACGGTGACACCAAGGAGGGAGGGACCAGGAGGGAGGGACGAGGAGGCCAGCGGAGCAGAAAGCAACTCCATTCCTGGCAGCTACCCCACAGCGCAGGTGAATACTCAGAGCAGCCAGAATATGCATGGGCGGATGACCGGATGGACACACTGCAGTCTGCCCACACCAGGGAATAAGGAATGAAGACTGACTCGCTGTGTGTAGACCTCAGAAACATGATCTGAGCTGAGAACACCTAGGATCTTCTTGTAGCTCTTCTGAAACACATGGTGCATCATCAGTGACTGCGGTCACCTTGATGTACAGCAGAATGCTGTCTAACTGCGACACTGACCCTGTTGACCAGTCTCTCCCACACCCCGCTTGAGATGATGAATATGCTGAGCACCCTGTTTGACACTCAGCAGTGTGCATAGTGTGTACATGTAGGAACACCGCTTTGTGTAATAATGCAATGGTGTAAACACATTAACCACTATTTGCCCATTAAAAAAGTTGAAGTACATTGTGCAAAATGAAAGAAGCCAGGCATAAAAGGACAAGTGCTATATGGTTCCCTTTCTACTAAAGTGTCCAGAACAGGTGGAGGTAGCCAGGGGCTGGGGAGCAACTGGTAACAGGCACAGGGTCTCCCCTGGGTGGTGAAAAGTGTTCTGGAACTAGAGGTGGAGGTTGGTTGCACAACATGGTGTAGGTGCTAAGTGCCCTGGATGGCTGGCTTTAAAAAGCTTACTTTTTCTGTTAGTGAACTTTCCTTAAACAGTCAGGAAAGCTCAAGGGGCCGCGGGAGGGAGCAGAGGTGTGGGGAGCTGCTGACCGCTGATCCATCCTATCCTCTCCTGCCTGGAAACCTGTGGAAGTGACCAGGAGGAGCCAACCATGTCCCACTGCCCCTTCCTGCTCCCTGACATCAGCTGGTGACATGGAAGCCTCTGGGGACACAAGAACTTTTAAGTACAAGAAAAGTGATTTCAGATTCCTCATGCTGGTTGCAAACAGATCAGCTCAGAAGTAACAAAATGTTTTTTTTTTTTTTTTAAATAAACCAAAGACTTGGAGGGGGAAAAAAAAACTTGCGAATAACACTTATTTAATTTAGCAGCATTCACAGAAGTAATGATTATGTTTTAAGTGGCCAACGGTTCCTTTTTAATTGGCTGGTAGGATCCTTTCAGCATCACAGCGACAGAGCTGCCGTGGCTGCTCCCTCTACCCCGAAGCCCGGCGACGTTGTTTAGGTTTGAAAGCACACCCCCGTTGACTGTGTGCGGCATAAAGGTAGATTAGAGGGGGGGGTAATTAACATGCCACCTTATTATTTGGAACTGGTAACTGCACAGAGCTCACAAACAAAACCGTGTTGGAAGCCCATGTTCCCCACAATGTGCTCCTTAACTCCTTCAGGACACTCTTGCAGCTTCCTCCCAGCACAGCCAGGAAGCAGAGTCCACGCTTCTGCTTCTGGCAGTTCTGTGGGAGCCTGAGGTGGGGGACCATCTCCATCCAGTGCATGATCGCCCTGGGGCTCTTTTTCACATTGTTTTCTTTTGAACACTGCTTCCCCAAGCCCCTCACCTACTGGAGGAAATCTACACTTTTGAAGCTGGCTTAATCCACTGGCCAAGCAAACAGCATCAAGAAGGAGGCCAGTGTTTCCTGCTGATGGAAGGCAAGTCTGCATTGGCCCGGCCTCCTGTCTCCGGTAGTCACAGGGGTTAAGTGACTGCCCGTAGCCTCTTCTAGGAAAAAGCCGAGTCGCCATTCTGACATCCCCTTATGCTGGGGAGAAAGCTCTTCTTTCACAAGTGGGTGAGAGGAGATCTGATTAGTGTGCAGGAAACATTTTGAGAGAATAAGGTACAGGGGACAGCCCAATGGCCCTGGAGAAAGCACAAGGCCTGCTCAGAGACTCCAGTGTCCTCAGGGAGCCAGGCACTAATGGCTCATCTCTCTAGCAACCAGAGACATTCGACTAAAAGATCAGCCTTGCCTAGCCATGAGCTCCAGCCAGGACACCCTCTGAGGTGGTCAGCCTAGGCTAGGCACCTACGGGTCCCTTCTGCCTGGCCGAACAGGCTTGTTCCTTCCTGAATTGGGTGTCTTTTCACTCAGGCCCAGGTACCCCTGCCCAAAGTCCTCTGATGGCGGGTATATTTCTGGTCAGCGGTGTCACAGGTGAGCCTGCAGGGCCGAGGCCGTGAGCTCCTTGAGACTTTGGAAATACAGACTGTACAATCCTCTGGCATCAACTTCTCAGGAGGCCTGAATTCATTATTATTTGGGTTTTGAAGTGGTCTCACGCTAGGGGTTTATGACTGGGGCTATCATTCCTAAAATTACGTTAGGGAAACCTACCAAAATAATAAAAGCAAGAAGCAGGGGGTGGGGGGTTGGTTCAGGAGTAGCGGGAGGAGGGATCAGCTCAGACTTGGCCAGGCCATAGGCCAGGACAACTCTGAGTCACAGCCCAGGCCACACATTTATCTGAGAAGTAGCTGCCCAAGCCTCTGGGCCTCAGCCATGTCTGTTCTTGGTGAACTTCACGCTAAGACCCTAGGTACCTCATTTACCCTGGGTACCTCACATAGGTCAATATGTGAGTGAATGTCATCTGACGCTGTAAAATGGGTCAGAGAAGTAACGAAACCCAAGTGCTCCCCAGGGCCAGGGCCAGGGCCAACATGGGCAGGGAACACACTATGTCCTAGGCCCTCAACCTGCTCCCTCCCAATTCCACCCTGACCTTGTATTTAGGGCATTGTGCCCCCTTTTACCCAGATCATAGGAAATAATCTATGACCAAAAGCCACCTCGGCATCTCCCCAGAGACCCCCTATTCAAAAAGCAAACCTATGTCCAGGATTTGGGGGGAGGGGGAGACAGAGAGAGAGCCTGACTTAGAACCACTGTGCTAAACTGACTGTGCACAACAGAGACCCTCCCTTGCTGTCCAGTGCACTGGAGGTTCTGCACTGACCGATCAAATGGCGTCCATAGAGGGTGATTATGACCCCTGTGGAGCCTGCCAGCCCCTCCCCTGAAGCAAGGGCTCCTGGCTGCTGTGTTACTGGACAGACAGATTTAAACCTTGATCCGTGGCCAGAGGGAGCTGAGGGAATTTCCCCCAGTCGATATCTGGCTTGCTGCAGTTCTTCCTTTATTGTGTGGCTAGGTTTTAAGGAGAGACTATTAGACCTGCAGGCCCCAGGTGGTGGGTGGTAGGAAAGCAGCATGTACACAGGGCCAGTGGGGAAGGCTTCCTGCCCACCAATCAGAGGCAGCCAGGAGTCTGTGAGTGTGTGTATGTGCATGTGTGCACATGCATGTGTGAGCCTGTTGTGTGAACACCATGTCGGTGTGGAAGTGTGTGAATGTAGAAGACAGAGTGTAGGCATGAGTGTGGTTTGGTGGGAGATGTAAGTGTGTGAATGAGAGCACATGGAAGTGTTGGGGGGACTGTGTGAGTGTACGGGTGCAGAAGGGATGCTTGGGAACCCTGAAAAATTGTCTGCAGGGCCTCCAGTGGGGAGACACGGTTACTCTCTGTCTGCAACCCCTCAAGAAAAAGGGTGAAACAGCTGTCTGTCAGCATGTGGGGCCAAGTGCCCAGCGGGCAGCAGCTCAAGCCCCTGAGAAGGTGCCTGGGAGAGCACTAATGTGAGCGTGGGATGTCACTGTCTTCACTGCTACTTCAGCACGCTGGAGGATGGACTTGACCCTGCTCAGTCCAGTCTACACCTCTGAAAGAGGCACTGTGAGCCTGAGCCAGCACCTCCTTCCCTCAGGGAGCTCACAGTGGTCTCCTCCATCTCACTGCAGGAGGATTCTGACCCTGCTCTTGCCTGGATACTGATGCACACACAGCCCCCTCTAGCTCACTAGAGCACAGGCCTGGTCCCCTCAGCCCCCATACTTACACCCTTCAGGCTGTGGCAAAGTGGTAAGTGCCTGCTTGGCAAGTGCAAGGCTCTGAGTTCAAACTGCAATACAGCCAAAAAAGTTAAAAAATAAGTGAACCCGCAGAGACAGCTGCTGAGGGTAGGATGGACAATGAGAAAATAAGAATTTCCAGGGATCCTTGTGCTGCACAGATTTCAGAAAACTCAAAGTCAAGTACTAGAGGACAGATAGGAAATCACAGGGGGTAATAATCCTATAATCCTATGCTGTAAACCACCATACTTTGTCATTAGTAAATTTCTTAATCACACTGGTGTTAATGAACCT